CTCATATGAAACCAGGGACAACAGCAACATGTAACAAAGGTAACGTTACAAAATTCAGCTCCATTACAGCTCACAAGGTTCACTGACAAAACAACTGTCTTATACTAAACACGTTTTCCAAGCAAATACAACATGCTAACATTATTAGCATTAGCACTTTTACAGTGTATAAATTAGCCTTGTGGTTAGCAGACTTCTCCTCTCCTCATATGAAACCAGGGACAACAGCAACATGTAACAAAGGTAACGTTACAAAATTCAGCTCCATTACAGCTCACAAGGTTCACTGACAAAACAACTGTCTTATACTAAACACGTTTTCCAAGCAAATACAACATGCTAACATTATTAGCATTAGCACTTTTACAGTGTATAAATTAGCCTTGTGGTTAGCAGACTTCTCCTCTCCTCATATGAAACCAGGGACAACAGCAACATGTAACAAAGGTAACGTTACAAAATTCAGCTCCATCACAGCTCACAAGGTTCACTGACAAAACAACTGTCTTATACTAAACACGTTTTCCAAGCAAATACAACATGCTAACGTTATTAGCACAAGCCTATGGCATTTTCCATTGTATAAATTAGCCTAGCAGCTAACAGAGATTTGCTCTGCTCATATTTCAGCCAGGATAAATCACACACAGTGTGTGGAGGCTTTATTGTCTTCACAATTTATTGTTTCTTATCTGTGAAATTAAAGTAAATCAAAGCTTTGTTTCCACTGAGGGAAATGGTTTATCACAAATGTACGTGTGGATACATTTGTGGGTCGATGGCCATCAGACTTCAGGTGGGCTCTAAAACACGGGTGGATTTAATGCAGAACTATAAACCCTGTGTCAGCTGTGTGATCACATGACGAACCTGCTGACATCAGAGTTCAGAAGTAAAAACAACCATCAGTCAAAAAATCACTTTATTGTTTTAAACATCACAGTGTCACAGTTTATCTTCATCATCACCATCATCATTATCATCATCATCATCATCTTCATCATCTTCATCCCTGTGTGTTCAGTCTCATGTCTGCTCAGCTGTCTGCTCAGCTGTCTGCTCCACCTTGGCCTTCTTCAGGTAGTTGTCGCTGACGTTCTTCAGGTGTTTGGTTCTGTTGTCCAGACGCACGGTCCACTCCTCCCTCAGCCTGAGACACACAGGAACACTTTATTTAAATTACAAGAGTCAGAGTTTCATTTGTTCCCAAATATCAGTGACATCACAGCATATCTGTGACATCACAGCGTATCTGTGACATCACAGTGTATCTGTGATGTCACAGTGTATCTGTGACATCACAGTGTTCAGGAAATGTTCCGACTCTGTTCAGTTATTTAGAGCGACCAACTTTAAACTGCAACAGTGTTACACGGTCCTCACAGAGTTACACAGTCCTCACAGAGTTACACAGTCCTCACAGAGTTACACAGTCCTCACAGTGTTAAGCTCCTTGGCATATTAAGGTCCTTGGTGTGTTAAGGTTCTTGGCGTGTTAAGGTCCTCACAGCGTGTGTAGAAGCAGCACTGAAGTTGGATTTAGTGTCTCTGAGTCGAGGCAGATCTGGTATCTTGGTGACAGCTGCGGTGTTATCACTGTCACATCAGCGTTTCACTTCACTCCTTTATTTCACCATCAATCAATGTGTGTGTGTGTGTGTGTGGGGGGGGGGGGGGGGGGGGGGGGGGGGGGGGGGGGGGGGGGGGGGCATGAGATGGAAAATGCAGGCATGAATTGGTGAGTGTGACAGTGTGACAGACACAAAGACAAAAAAGTGCAGACATATTGTACGTGCAGGGGTGTGTTTGATCCTGAGTGTGTGTGTGTGTGTGTGTGTGTGTGTGTTGGGGGGACAAGGGATGGAAAATGCAGACATGAATGAGTGTGAGACACACAAAGACAAAAAAAGTACAGACATATTGTACGTGTATATGTGCATGTGTTTGTTTGATCACGTCTATCTAGGTGTGTGTGTGTGTGTGTGTGTGTGTGCGCGTGTAACCTAACCCTCACTGTCAGCTGTCTTCTCATCGCCACCTTCCTATCGTGTTTTCTGGATTATTCCATTTGTCTTTTCAGCTGCTGATAATTCATCTGACCCCACAGAGGCAGACACAAAGACCAACAGACAGACAGACAGACAGGTAGACAGATCCTAACAGTTTCAGACTACGTCTTCTTGGTGAAAAAAAGCACTGATTGACTTAAACGGTATAGTTTTATTAAATGTTGTGATTTATTGAAACTAAATTCAACTTCAACAACAGGCTGAAGAAAAGGACTACGCTCGTTGTCCATGATATAATGTATAAAGACCAACTTTTAAAACACACTTTAAATGTGAAGACGACATGCGTCCACATGTTACTGACATTGACACCTGCACAGCAGAAACACAGCTGAATATTATGGCAGGTTTGCAAAAAAAATCTGTTTTCCACTCAAACAACAAGCTGGTCGATCGTTAAACTCTGGAAACTGTTTTGGAAAAGCAGGTTTTTTGGGATAGAGGAACAGGGTCATTGTCAGGAGTCAGGACAGAGGGCTGAGACTCAGAGAAAAACATACATTTTTAAATCTAACGTAACACTAAAGGCGTATTTATACTATGCAGAGCCTACTCTGTAGCCTACGCACATGGCCTATGGCGTTGTGAGCATTTATACTTGTGCAGTGGTGTGTCTGTGTCACTCTGCAGTTACACCTCCAAATCACTAGTTGGTGGAAGAGTTTCTGTGAAGTGCTGTAAAGTTTAGTTGATTCAAAATACACAATACAACATGCTAATGTTTTTAGCACAAGCCTATGGCATTTTACATTGTATAAATTAGCCTAGCGACTAGTGGACTTTTCCTCTCCTCATATGAAGCCAGGAACAACAGCAACATTTAACAAAGGTACTGACAAAACAACTGTCTTATACTAAACACGTTTTCCAAACAAATACAACATCTCTGGGGAGGTGCACGTCAGGCTATGTTGTATGTTACGGCATTGATTCAATGCAGAAGTAGAAATCCTGCTTAAGAGTCCAGGTGAATTTCATCACGGATCTCTTAAGTCTGACCAAAACATCTAAAACCAGACGCAGCGTGAGGGATGGTTCACCTACAGATGATCTCCTCCATTAATTGACTATAGAATGTCAGAAAGGAGTGAAAACTGCCAGAAGAGATTTATTCAAGTGTTTGTTTTATTCAACTCAAACCCCAAATATTCAGTTTATTATGATGTATGAATGAGAAAAACAGAAAATCCTCACATTAAAGAAACTGGAACCAGAGAATTTTTCATATGTTTTTAAAGTCAGTTCAGACTGGATTTATTTCTCTGGAGGAGATGATTTTAACATCACCTGCACTGGTCAGTGAATTTACAATGATCCAAAATGGGGTTTAAACAATTAAAACAGCTGCTGATTAATTCTCTGTTGATCGAGTTATAACTGTTGAAACTAAGCTCTGCAGCACTGACATCAAGACAGTAACAAAGTAGTTTTAGTCCAACTTTTAAGAATTAAATTGAAACTTTGCGTAAATTAAATGTTAAAATTAAATTAATTTCCAGCTTCTCTTCCACACAGACTGAAGACTTCACGATGTCGTTGTATAGAACAGAATCATTTCTAACTCCAGCCTGTGTGTATCTGTGCGTTCAGTCCGAGTGTCAGCCGGCCGCCATCACTCATCGCTCTGTCATTATCACCTCCACCCTTCTTTTTCAGCTCTGGCCAGGTCACACATAACGGACACAATTAGCGGGGACTAGAGCCGGCGTTAGTGGTGGCGGGGGGGCGGCTGGTTGTGGAGTTGGGGGTTACATTGTAACAGATAGCAGGGGATTAGGAGATACACAGTATTGATAGGTGGGGGATTAGGGGGACAGTGTAATGGATAGCAGGGGGATTAGGTGTGATGGTCTCGGGAGGTGGTGTGAGGTTAAGGGGGACAGGGAAAGAGGAGACTGGAGTTAGGAGGGATAGGGCTAATAGCTGGTGTAACGCTCAGAGGTGAAGGTTTAACAGGAGGATCTATACGTACACCTGGAAATCCCGTCATCATGTAATGAAGGAGTTTGACAGAAGAAGAAGAAGCTGCCTGCTAAGACGCAGCTCGTATGGTAAATATATAAACTGCACTGAGTGTCAGTGACGGATAGATCAATACCAAACATCTGTGGAGATGAGATACAACTTTATTTATCCAGAAGGAACGTGTTATGCAGCGGACGCAAATATAAAATATACACAATGCCAAAATATATATAAACAGGTCAGCAGCAACCTGATTACCAAGATTAAAATATGAATTAAAGAAATACAATAATGAAAAGGATGATTGTAAAGTTATGATGGTGCGGCTCAGCGTGATGACGCTCTGTAGCAGGGTGTCCATCTCATTTTAGTTCATGGGCCACATACAGCCCTAATTCACCCTCAGATGAGCCGGACCAATAAAACCATCGCACAATAACCTATACACACCATCAGCTCCAATATGTTCCCTTTTTACATATTACAAGTACGTCCTGCAGACATTCATCCTTTCATAAAACAGATGAACAGCCTGAGATGTCTCAGATAAATAAGAACAGTTTCCACAGTATGTCTCCTCATTCAGTCAGTCTGCTTCTCACTGTCATTACATGTGTATTTATCCAAACATTTCCTGATACAGATTCTTTTGAACTGAAGCAGCTGATGAACAATATTTTGCACAGTGTTTATTATCTTTAAACATGTTCACAGTCAGTATTCATTGTTGTATCACGAAACTGTATCCTGGTCAGGGTGAAGTACAATATTACATTAAGTAAGTAATGTGTTGTTGAACTTGCTCCTGAAACCTGTCACCACTGAGGCTGCTGTCAGCCCTAGAGTGGTCTCCTTTGGTCTGAATCAGGGACTCATGTTGTTCCAAAGTTGTATAATTGCCTAGAGTTGGTTCGTGTTCTCACGGCAGCATTTACAAGAGGACCAGATCAAATGCCTTGTGTGAGAAAGCTGCTCTTGATTGGTCAGAATTTCCATGTGGGAAAAATCCAGGAAGTAAAGCAAACGTTGAAGAAGAGTACACTTGCAAGATAAATGTGACACTTTCTAATGTCACAATGGAGGGACAACTACGCAGGTTGATTTTAGCCTGAAACTAACTAGAAATTGTAAACTAGAAAACAATGTTTTGATGCATTGGATGTGCTGAATGTGCATATTAAGGCAGTACAGGAGGAGGTGCACATTAATAATCCTCCAGGACTGTAACATGCTCATGTTTAACCCAAACAATGTGTCATGTGACTGCAGTTGCTTCACATCCAGGTCGTAACACCTTCTCACCACAAACCAACCGCACCAGAGTTCCTTTGGAACCGGACTGAGACCACCTCTTCAAGAAGGTCTCGGTCCGGTTGGTTTGGTGTGTTCACACCTGCACAAATGAACCGCACTGAGGGGACAAACCAGCTGGAGTTAGACTGAACCGAACCAAACAGGACAGGTGTGAAAGCAGCCTCAGTCTAGTCAACGCTGCAATGGTGTTGCTCTTGCTTTTAAGTGGACCTTCAGGGTGTCTACATTGAGAACAGTGGATGCAAGGGTGCAAAAAAGACGGTGAGTGTCTCGGCCCGTATTATGTCGCTTGAAAAGGGAGCAAACTGAGCGGTGAGTCCTAAAAGCTGGAAACCTCCTGTTCCATCCTCTCAGAGTCGGTGTGTTCCTGGTTAGATGTCTGAAATAAGGTCTGTGGTTAACACAAGCTGAAAAGACTTTCAGGTTTTGTTCAACAGCATAAAATCAGTAAATCAGTAAATAATCCACTGTGAACTTTAAAGCTACTCTGTGTCTTAAAAAAGATGGTTGCTACCAAGTGGCTAAATTAAACTACAGAGCATCATCATGCTCAACACAAGTTTGCAGCCTCGTTATGGTGGCGATGATGAAGTCATGTGACGGTGGTGCAGTTTGTTTATAGCCTAGCATTAGCTTTTTACTTCTGGTGATTGAATTTACACTCCAAAAATCATGAAGTGGTGTTTATTAGTGAAGATAATCTTACTGAACAAAACATGTAAGTATCATAAATGTTTGTCAGAGTTTATTTTCTACAATCATCCAAAATCCAATGGAAAAAAATCCCGCTGGCTTTGTGACGAGGGAACCAGGCTGATGTTAACTTCAGGTCAGCCTACAAGAAAACATCATCCCTGCATCACTCTCTGCCAACCCCCCCCCGCCCCCTCCATCTTTGTCACCTTCCTCGGCCCTGATGAGTTTGCACCCCTGGATTATAAAACTCTGGACTAAAGATGTTGGAGTATTTTGATGGTCAGTCTGCAGGTTTATGAGGTGAGTTCAGGTTCCAGTCTGATGTTTCTGCTTGTTACTGATCATCATTACTGAGACCTTTAACAACCGGACGGTCCGCAGGGTCGAGTGTTTGTCCTGGTATGTCCTCGCCCTGAGAGACGAGAGGCTGTTTGTAATGAGAGCATCTGTTTTTAGATGTGTCTATTTGACACATGGTCACATGTCCAACACAACTGAAGCCAGTTTGATCACAGACACCAGCGATCTTCAGGAACAGGGTCTCCTGCTGGGTCAAGGCCTGTGAGGTTGACTCGTAGGTGAACGCCAGGTGAATGGCCTTTAGGTGGGAGGGAGGAACCAGTTTATACCATGTGTGTCCTGGAAGACATTCAGTTTTCATCTCACATTCACGTTAAAGGTGAAACAAGAAGTTTTGTGGAGAATTTAAAAAGTAGACCTGAGGGAGGAGTTCAAACCCGCCTACTTTGAGTCGAGCTCAGACCGGCCAGTTCACACCGCTGATACTTTTCTCTGCAATGTTCTCAACTGTTTTGTCTCGTTGCAAATCTTTGGTCTGAACTGGACTTTAGACATTTACAGTGAAATTGGACTTTTGACAAAATCTGAATGAAAAACAGCAGAAAAGGTTAAAAAAATCTGAAAACTTTCTGCACAGTGTTATCCAGGTGTCTTGTGTCCACTGGTCAGCTCATGGAAATCCAAACACAACCAAACTGTTATATTTTCAAATCATCCTTCCCTGAAGGAATTAGTTGTGTGCATGCGAACAGCTACTGCAGGTGCTCCACTTTCCTCTACGCCATTTAATAGGAAACTTTTTCTGGCACCACAGAGAGCACAGGGAGGTGATATATAATACATATTGTTTTTGGGTGAACTATTCCTTTAAACCCATGGGACCACTGTTATGTTGTCAGAGTTTGGGGAGGCCAAGACAAAGAGGATGTTTGTTTGGTCTGTGAAAGATTCTGACAATTCAGAGAAGTGCTGATCGTGATTGTGAATGTTGTTGGCTCGGGTTTGTTTTAAAGATGTTTTTATCTTTACTGATCGGACAGACAAACAGTAAAGGTACGAGAGAGTTGGTGGATGACACGCAGAAAAGGGCCGTTGGTGGGAATCAAACCCTCTGCAAAGAACTCAGCCTACATGAGGCGTGCACTCAACCAGCTGAGCTCAAGGTCACCTCAGGAAGTCCTGAACCTTCAGGTACATCCTCTGCGGACGTGAAGGAGTCAGACGCCTGGGACTGCTCAGGTGATGCAGCAGAGGAACCATCGAAATGGGCTTCGACAAAAAAAGAATTGTCCTGACTAAAAGAAAGACCTCCGCCATGACCTGGACCAACATCTGTACTACTAACGTTTTCAGTGCAGGACTTTTACTTAGTAGTGGAGTATTTGTACTTTTACTGCAGTGTGTGTGTGTGTGTGTGTGTGTGTGTGTTACTGTAAGTGTGTGTAGTGTCTTACTTTGCGAGTGCACTCTGGTTCTTCCTCTTCTCTTCGTTCTCAGCGTATTCACATTCATTGTTGATCTTCTTCTCCCAGAACGTCTTGATGTGCTGTCTGTCGTGGACCAGAGCCAAGTTCATCTGCAGCAACACAACACTCATCGTCACACACTGATACCTTAAAGAGTAACTAAACACACTGGTTCACACTGAGGTGGAGTGCATTGTTTCACTGCCCCCTGCTGGTTTAAAGGGTTAAAGTCTGGCACACCTGGAAACTGTGATGTCACAGTGTACCGGCCACACCTCAGTCAATGTCAAAACCCGTCAGCTATCGGCCTGAAAATGGTTTAGCGTCTGCGGGCAACAGATATCACACAAGACTTCTTCAGCTCATTTCAGCTGATCTCTATAAACAGATTATTACATATGAATGTACCTGTTTACAGAGATCACACCTTGATAAGATCTCCAGCTGGTGTTGCAACATGTTCTCATCCCAACTCGTCAGTTCAGTGTCAACATATGATGCTCTGGGTACCCTCCTGCGTCAGGTTTGGATGTTCAGGGACAGCGTATCAATTTACCCTCGTTAGATGCATTGTGTTTTTTCAAAATAAACTTTGATTTCCATAGGAAATGTACAGTTTCTGCTTGTTACATGCCTACAAACTTTTTCAAAATAAACTTCATTTTTATGTTTACTTCCTGAAGTTAGGCAACAAAAGTCTGTGGTTACGTTCAGAAAAAAACCCATCATGGGTTGTCTTAAAATAAGTACAGTTGTTACTAACGCAACATCATAGGACACACATTACCAGTGTAGCATGCTACACATACCAGCACAGTACGTTGTAATTAAAATAACTCCATTAACTTTGGTGTCACACAGGAAACGTACAGTGGGCTCTCAGGTGAAAGTCCAGAGTTTGTTTGACCCATCCTCCCCTTGCCCGCCCTGTGTGGATTTTCTTGCTATTTATACTACGGTAGTTGCCAGCGGTGTCACACACAGCAGCCGCCTGTTGTGTATCATACCAACCAGGTCTCAGTCCGAAGTCATCGAAATACAGAGCTTGGGCAGTGACTTGTGGCGTCAGAAACTGCCGCAAAAAGCCATCCTTTCACGTCAGCCTGATACGTGGCAGTAAAACGCTCTGCGGCATCAAAGGGAAACACAGCAGAACAAGAATAAAAGTCTGACTAGGGTGGCTGGGAGGGGGGGGATGGGTCCAACAAACACTGACTTTCACCTGGGAGAGCGATGTTCACTTCCTGTAAGATTGTGAAGCCAAACCCTGTTCTTTTTTCATAAATGTAACCATGTGTGTGTGTGTCGGCTAAATGTAACCACGTGTGTGTGTTGGCTAAACGTAACCATGTGTGTGTCAGCTAAACGAAACCACGTGTGTGTGTTGGCTAAACGTAACCATGTGTGTGTCGGCTAAACGAAACCACGTGTGTGTGTTGGCTAAACGTAACCACGTGTGTGTTGGCTAAACGTAACCACGTGTGTGTTGGCTAAACGTAACCACGTGTGTGTGTTGGCTAAACGTAACCATGTGTGTGTCGGCTAAATGTAACCACGTGTGTGTGTTGGCTAAACGTAACCACGTGTGTGTGATGGCTAAACGTAACCACGTGTGTGTGTTGGCTAAACGTAACCACGTGTGTGTGATGGCTAAACGTAACCACGTGTGTGTGTTGGCTAAACGTAACCATGTGTGTGTG